GCACAGGAGAGGCAGGTACAGAGGATGTGTCACCAGGGCAGTGAGGGGCAGCTCGTAGCAGCGAGATCCCCACACTGCCCTGCTCTCCCCAGCCACACCAGGTTGTGCCTGCCGGGTGGCAGAGGCCCCAGAGGAGCAAAGCAGGGCGGGAGCCTGTGCCTGCAACCTGCACCTGCCCTGGATACAGATCAGGAAGGCGCAGGTCTTCCCTGCCCCCCGAGGAGTGCGCGCGGTGGCAGGGAGCTGCCCTGCCGAGCCCACAGGAGGTGGCAGGGGGCTGTGGACCCGGCAGCTGGGGGCCCCCTCCGGCACAGCTAGGGGAGCAGGGGCTGTGGGTAGGGGGCAAGGGGCACCAGCAAGGTTGTGGGGATGTGGGAGGGAGTGAGACACACAAGCAGGGCCAAGGGGGCTGTGGGAGACCTTTAATTGAGTATTTAATGATATTTTCTTACTGCAGCCCACCCCCTTTTCTGAAGTCCTGGAACATCCCTATTCCTCCTCTGTTATTTCTGCCTCTGGTAATGAAGTTTCTGATAAAATGATGTCATGGAACACATCTACGTCATTAACCGAGGTATTTCTGTATAGCCCTAGTTTCTCAGTTGGGCAACTCCCCGAAGATCCTAGACTACTACCCCTTTTAAGACGAATTCTGGGTGTGTTATGCTTCGTTACTAGGAAACTGGTTGTATATCAGTTACTAGGAAACTGGTTGTAAATGCTGATTGCATTTTTGAACTGGTAAACAAGTGAGCAAACACCAAAAACGGCTAAAGGCTCAAATGTTTGCTTATTCTGACTTTTTAGTTCTATTTTAATTTGATACTTGGTAACACACTAGTAGATTTTCTATAAGCTAATTGGGGGAAATAATGGACTCCTTGTAATACAAACCCTTGATACAATCCTGTTCTATTTACATCTAGACTGAGAAGAGAAGGAATTTCTGGGTTTTGTAATTGAAGTCATGTAGATTAAGTGAGGTTTTTCTGTTATAAAAATCCATGTACAGTTTTTTCACTAGTTTGTGACCAGCATATACTTAAGGGCATGTATCTTGAGATGCCTTTGAGGTTAGTGATACTTAATGACTAAAAGATGCATCACAGTGAATTGAATGGCAGCGTGTGTGGTTACACCAAGCGTGCCCTAAAATCTGTTTCTCTTCCCTATCCCTTGCCATTACACTATGACTGTATAGTGTCACATAACAGACCTGTTACAAACTGGAAATCAGCAAATCACAATATTCAAACATTGACAGTTGATCTTAGACTGTCTTTATACAACAAAAGATTGTTTTTTGTCTCCCTATAAACTTAAATATACTGCTAGTAGGTATATGTTGGAGACTGATGCATTACCAGTGCAGATATGTACATACCAGATAGTTGTGATTTTATTTATATAACTATATATATATATATATATATATATATATTTGACATTAGATAAATATTTGGAGAGATTTTCTCAA